GTCCAGACTAGAAATGGGCTCACGTGGGCCCTGGAAAGGGAATTCCAGAGAGGGGCACGTGCTCTAGCCTGGCGGTGTCCTGCCAGGAGGAGGCGCAGGTAGGAGGGCCCTGGCTTCACTTTTGAAGTCGGCTGGAGATGGAGCATTTGTTCTCCTCCTTCTCTGTACCTTCTGGGCTGAATGGGAAGCTGGAAGAACCCAAGTCACAATAGTTTCTTTCTGTCTGTTTCTTCTGTAACTTTTTCTAAATTGTGGATCTCTGGCACAAGCCCTGAGGGACGAGACAGCTTGGTGTATTGTCAAATGGCGCGTGTAGGGCTGCAGAGGGTGTAGTGGGCATGCTCTCCTCTGCCAGGGCCCTGGGGTCACGGCTGGCAGGCCTTAGCGGCTGGACCAGGCTGAGTGGCACAAGCAGGCACAGTGTGGCTGGCCTGAGTCTGAAGAGTCCCCTCCCTCCCCAGGGGTGAGAGTTGGCTGCTGAGTCCAAGTGCCCGCTTCGGAGGAAGCAGTAGAGGTGGCCAGCGATGGATGGACCCGGGCCACCTGGGCCCCATCCCTTTGCTCGAGGAGCATTCGATGCCATCGTGCTTGGGGTTACCAGGGCCACTACACGGGCCAGGGCTTTCATCCCTGGGAGTGTGGCCTGGGGCGAGTCGCTGACCCTCCCGGGCTCCATTTGCTCAGGGTGAGGTGGGGAGGACGATGTATTTCCCACCGCGGGTTGCGTCTGTGCCGCCAGGCATCGTGCCTTGATTCCTGGACTGTGTGTGTACAGCGCCCGCCTGGCGAGGGGACGCGCTCCACAAAGGGACACTGGCATTGTTATCCCTGCCCAGGGCCCCATCGAAGGGCAGAGCCCAGGCAACTGCCTGGGAAGCTGGGTCTTCTTGCAGCAGCTGGGACCTGGGTGCAGCCCCAGGAGGCTTCGCGCGAGGCTGCCTGACTCAAAGGGCAGAGACCCCTCCCCCGCCCTCTGCACCAGCTGTGGTGACCTGGGTATTTGCTGTGCCCACCTCTGGGGGTACCTGCTGCCCAGGGAACCCAGGCCTGTGCCCCCCACCTTTATAGGAGAGAGAGCAGAAAGAGGCATCCCAAGAGGGTATTGGAGCACACCTGTCCACATCTGAATGACAGTCTGTGCCGCCATCTTCAGGCCTCCTGGACATAAGCCTCATGAGCAGGGAGTTGTCCTTGTCCCCTTGAGTACTTCGTTCGGTCTCTCTGCAGATCCATCTCACTGTGGCCAGGGTGGAGGGTGGCCGGGTGGGGTTCCACCCACCCCAAATAGGGAGAGGGGCTGTCAGCAGACTTCACGTGCCCTTCTGTCCCTCATAGAGGCCGAGCACCCGCCCCCAGCTGCTGGGATTTCCACCCCCAGGGAGAGAATTCTCTGCATCCGTTCAGTCTGCTCACCTCGCTGTCCCTCCTGGGCACTGCCTGCCCAGCTTCAACTCTTGAGACCAATCGTTGGCTGCCGAAGCAGCCCCAGTTCCCTTTTCATTTAGCTAAAACAGTTTGTTTCATCTTTATCACACAGACAATACACCTTCCTGACGGGAACGTTAGAAAGACACGGAGGAGCGAAATACTTTAGTGTATATCTTTTCAGATGTTTCTTTCCTTGTGTATTTTTCTGTAAACATATTTTTACTTAAATGACACCATCCTATATATCCTGTTTTAAAAGGTACTTTTCATTTAATGATGTATGGAAACCATATGCAGTACATGAAGACATGTTAAATACTATATGTCAGTATCATTTGTAATAGCTGCATGGTATTTGCTTGAATGGATGGACTATAATAAGTTAAAATATGACTGTTGGGCATCTAGATTATTGCCAGATTTTCACCATCATACTCGACACGGGAATGAACCCCTTCTTGTATACATCTTTGTTCTACTTGTGCCATTTCCTCCTTAGGCTAGTTTGCTGAGAGGGGGACTGCTGGATCCACGGACTTACCCTTAAGCCTTTTGATACATACAGAGAGTAGTCCTCCAAAGAGATGCCCGATTTACCTTCCCACCAACAGCATGTGACAGCTGCCTGGGAAACTCCCTCCTGAGGGGTCCACCTCCCATGCTCAAAGGCTGTGCACATCTGCAGCAAGGTTCTTCCCAGCTGTCATCAAGGGGAGGGGACGGTGGGTCTGGGAGGAGACCTGGGTCCGAGGAAGGGTAATCAGTGCAGGCAGTCACTCCCCGGGGACTGTGTGCAGGGGTTTAAGAGGGTGCCTGAGCCCCATCCTTGCTGAGGCTGGGGGAGGGTCAGGCAGGGCTTGCCTGAGAGGACTTGGGTCAACAGTACCAAGGTGCACAGGCCTGAGCCTGGCTGTGGTTAGGAGCAGGGCCGGCCTGGACGGCTCAGCTCTGCAGGAGGAGTTGGGAAGGCATTCTGGGTGCAGGGACTGGCATACGCAAAGGCACAGATATTCCCTTGGCAGGGCCACCTTCTAGGGACTCTGAGGCACATTGTCTGCTTGAAGCATCGTGTCGACATTGGGGAAAAAGAAGCAGGGTTAGGTGATTGGTGAGTCTTCCCCCAGTCTTAGGGACAGTGGGGAAGCATCGGGCTGCTGTGGGCCCAGTGGGATTAGGGCTGATGAGTGTTGCTGGGAATAGGCATGGATGAAGGCAGCAGCCGGGGGCCAGGGCGAGGTCAGCAGTGATCGTGGCCAGAGCCAAGGCTGGTAGGGAGGGGTGGCAGATAGGAGGGAGAAGCCAGCTCCCCAGCCAAGACATAGATTCAAACCCCATTTGTCAACCCCATCCCAGACTTATGACTTTAAAGAGCTGACTTACTCTTCATCCTCTGGAAAGATCTGAGTTGCAGGTTTATCGTCCTATCAAAGAAGGAATTTGACTTCTGAGATGCAGCCGAGCCTGCGGGAAGGGAGCTGATGGGGAAGCACCAGACCCACTGGTCTTTGGGGAGGCGAGTGAGAAGCCCTGAGTCCTCTGACTGGGGTCTTAGCTGAGCTGTCAAGGGGACTGAGGTGGCGTGGGCCTCTGCTTCCCCTTGCTGTGGGCTTTTGCCTGGGAGTTGCCAGTGGCCCCTCTGCCTCTGTCATTCACGTGCATGAGTCTGTCTTGATTTTGGAAGTGGCTTATTTGGCTCTGATTTGGCAGGAACCTTCTAGGCAACATGACCATTAGGTTTGTCAAGGGGGAACTGATGAGTTTCTGGGCCTAGTACTGGGCCTAGGATGGAGTCTGCTCCCAACATCATGGACGACCTCTACCGGCTTGCCAAGTTCATGTGTGGAAGCTGGTAGCCACAGCCCCTGAGGCCTTAGAAAAGAGTATGTCTTTGAGGTGCTCTGCACAAAACAAATTACACCAGCAAGTTTGGCCTAGCAAGATAAGGAGGAGCCTGAAGAGCAAGTAGTGGGGGTCCTCCTCTTGCAGGTGGGGAGCTAAAGCCCAGAGGAGGTGACATGCTCTCCCAAGGTCTCACAGGAGACTGAGAGACCAAGATCTCAGGCTTCACAGGCTTGCACATGTGCCTGCCTGTGAGGCCACTGCACAGGCTGCTGGGCTGGGGACAGTTGGGCCCGTGTGGTCCTGGGATCACCTGTGGAACGAGGTCTGATGTGGCAGCCCCGGTGCAGGGCTGGGCATGTGGGGCTCCCGTTGGCAGTGATGAGGTGCCGTTCCTGGCCTGCAGCAGCTTGGGCCGCCTGGGCTGCTTGTCGGTGCAGTTTCTGGAAGAGCTAGCTCTTGCTGACGTGGCAAATTTGGTTTGTTCTCAGCCCCCGCCCCCGCTGCCCATTTTAGTGTGCCGCTCACCTCCACAGAAGCATGTCCCGGCCCTGCCAGCTGGCAGCAGTGCCGGGCTGGTCAGAGCCTCGCCCCTGAGGGGCTCAGGGTGGCAGGCCCTGGAGAGGGGGGCTGCTTTGCCTTGGGGCTGTGTCAGCACAGCCAGGGCCTTGCTTCCTATCATGACCACACACCTGAGCCCCCAGCCCCTCCGTGGCGGCCATTCAGGGCAATGACCAGACCCACGACCTGGCAGCTTTGGATCACTCCCAGCTGGGACACCACTACAGCGCCCTACCCACCCACCACAGGAGGGCAGCACCTGGCTCAAGGGCAGCCAGCTGCAGGCCAGAGAGGAGGCAAGGGGGACAGCAGGGCGAGAAGACAGAGAGAGGAAAAGAAAGCCGAGCACCTTGCCTGGTGCCCAAGGGCCACTAGGAGTCGGCAGTGGGGCCATGGGCTTTCCACTGGAGGCGAGGAAAGAACCTAATAGGGCTGCACACCCCCAGACCACTTTTGTACTGACTGGGGACCACCAACTGCCCTTCTCCGAGCAAAGACGGGTGGAGAGTCACTGCTACTTGGCTCCTGTCCAAGTGCTCAACGATCTTTGCTATGCCAGGTGGTGCCAGGCACTCGCAGGAACATTGGCTCATTCCGTCCTCACAGCAGTCCTGAAAGGTAGATTTACCACCATTTTACAAATGGGAAAACTGGGACAGCCCGCAGAGCTTAGCTGATCTGCCCAAGGCCTGTCAGATAACTCCCAGGGGGTGAGAACAATTGTCCACTAAAGCAGCTGGGCCCTCTGCCTGCCCTGAAGGTGTTCTGCTTCATGTGTACCATGCCACTGCTCGGTGTCACTGCACAGGCTCCCCGACACTCCCGTCCGGAGCCTGGCCATTAGCACTCTTTAGGAGGGCTCCTGCTCTGCCCTTACAGCAATCCATCGCCGTGTTCTCCAGGTGAGCAGCCTGGGCAGACAGGTGGCTGTGCTGCCCGGCAGCGGCAGGTCCGGTGAGCGCCTGCCCCTGGCCTCTGGCCACGTCCAGGACTCCACCAACTCTTGCCACCGCCAATGCCCAAAGGAAAGTCTGGATGATCTTGCTGTGCCGGGAGCCAACAGCATGGTGACCCTCAAGCCTTACAAGCGCATGAAGTGACAAGCATATACTTGCCTTTGTCCCCAGCAGCCCCACTGAATCAACTGACGAGGGACCTGCAGAGCAAACGCCATGAGTATCTCAGCTTTTAGAGGCAGCACCAAAGGTGAGGCCTGAGCCCCCTTTTGTCCTGGGCTCGGTGTGTGGCTGCCTCCTTCCCAGCCTGCCCCGGGAGGGCCACGAGTACTGGCCTGCCAAAGGGAGAGCAGCACATCGGGAGGGGTCCTGGGCTTGGGGCTCCCCTTCTGAGCTGTGTGGCCTTGCCCCCAACAGGGAAGCCTCTGCCACCAGGCGAGGAGGAGCGCAATAATGTCCTCAAGCAAATGAAAGTGCGAACCACGCTGAAGGGGGACAAGAGCTGGATCACCAAGCAAGATGAATCAGATGGCCGCACTATGTAAGTCCCGGAGGCTGGGATGGATGGCAGCAATGTGGGGGGCTGCGGTCTGTGGGTGCCCGACCACACCATTCAGAGCTCAGCCAGGCACGGGAAAGGCCACGGGGTGGGAAAGCCCCCAGGTACCCGGGGGGGAGACGGTGAGGCAGGAATGGCACAGAGGCTGCAGGGGGTCCAGAGGCAGGGGGCCCAGGAGCCACACTTTCAGGACCCATCTTTCCCCAGAGAGCTGCCCTCAGGCCGGAGTCGTGCCACATCCTTTTCATCAGCTGGGGAGGTCCCCAAGGCCAGGTAAGAGGTGGTGCCCAGGTAGCTGGTGGTGGGCCCCAGGGACTCTCCTGTGGCATGGGGCCAGCTGTGCAGCACGGAGGGGTGAGCAGTCCACACAGGACAGGTACAGGGAGGGAGCCTGAGCCAAGAAGGGAGAGGAAGGGTCTGCAGTGAATCCTTTGGCATCCACAGGGAAAGGCAATGTAGGAGTCACTGGTCCGGGCCACTGGCCTTGCTGTGTGGCCGTGGGGCCAGCTTGTTCGCCCTGCGGGGCCTGCATGGTTCCAGCTCTCAACTAGGATCAAAACTGTCATTAAGAAGAAGACTCCTATTCTGAAACCTCCCCCTGCAGGGAATGAGAACATCTCTGAGATGCTTTGGGCAGCTTCGAGAGTCACAGTGCCTCACTCCTGCAGATGGGCCTGATTGCTGAGCATTCTTGGCAATCAGCGTGCCACAGGACACTCACAGGTTTGCTTCAACCGTCTCCCGAGTTCACAGTGACATATTTTGTCAGCTGACCAGGGGGAGCTGGCCTCTATTTTGAGGATTTTCCCATAACAGTGTCCGGGGGGCTCTGCAGTGTGGGCACATCCCGCCGGCATCTGGAGGAACTGCTCCTGAGAGACAAGGGGACTGTGAAATTCAGGCTTGCTCCTTGCTCCAAACAGCTGGCAGGTGGCTGCTCAGGTGGTGGTAGAAGCAGTGGCACTGCTGGCCTGCAGGGCTGCCTCTAGCGACAACAATCTTGCCCTCCCGCGAGGGCTCAGCACCTGCTCTCTGCCAGCTCCTGTGCCGGGCACAGAGGATATGGTAGTGGTCAGGACACAGGCCCGCTCCTCACGGAACTGACACCCCAGGGTTCCTGCAACTTGGCCCCCTCAAGGAGGCTGTCCCTTGTTAAAGACAGACGGCGGGATGGAGAATGCTGGGGTTCTGCGTTGTCCTTAGACCCAAGCCCTGCTGCTGCAGCCCAAAGGCTCTGTCGGTATTGCTGGACAGAGCAGCCGTCTACCGTGTCCTTGACTCCTCACCCGACTACAAGGAAGACTCCTCAAAGGGGCCCGTATCTCCTGGCCTCAGTGTCAGCTCCCCACCTGCTTCCCTTGGCTTCCTGAGTCCTCGGTTGCTGTCCAGCAGGAGGCCTGCAGAACCCAGAGCCTCATGTGTTCCAGCCATTGACCAAGCCCTGGCCATGCCCTCTGGCTTCAGACTTCCACCAAGACTTGGGATGTGGGCATCCCAGGAGCCAGAGGAGGGAAGGCGGAAAGGAGCAGGAAGGGAGGAGCAACAGGCCTTGGCTGGCAGGTGCCTGGCTCTTCTGCTCGGGCCTCACGCACCTTCCTGGAGGTGGCTGTGGCAGGGGCAGGTCAGGGGCCTCCAGTGTGTGCTGGGTTGGCTGGGAGAGCAGAGCGTGGAGGGCTGGCAGCAGGGCAAGAAGAGCTCCCTCGGAGCAGTGCCAGGCACCTGCTGGGAGGAGCTGGCCACGGGCACTTTCCCTGGGGGAGCTGAGTGAGACAGGCAGAGCGGAGTGGGCACCCGGCTAGGGGAGTGAGGGTGGCTGGCTCCCCGCCTCTCTGCTGTGCCAGGACATCCACCAGCCAAGCCCCTCTGCTGCTGCTGGGGGCAGGATGAAGCAGGCCTCGCTTCACCCCACCCTCCTTCCCCTTTGGCAGGCCTCTGAGCACGAGGGCTCCCACTGGCTACATCATCCGGTGAGTGACTGCAGCACCCTGCCTGCCTCCCTGTGCCCACCCGTACCAGCCCCTGGGGAGCTCACCAGCACCTTCTGGGCTCTCTTCCAGGGGGGTGTTCACGAAGCCCATAGACAGCTCATCCCAGCCCCAGCAGCACTTCCCCAAGGCCAACAGAGCTCCGAAAAGGTGTGTCCAGGTGGTGCTGGCCAGTCGGCCGGCAGGGAGGTGTGAGGGCCTGGTCTGTGTTCATGGCAGAGAGAGTGCTCTGCCTGCCAGGCTGTAGGGGCGTGGAGGTGGCAGCTCCCTTCCTGCGCGGGCACGACCAGAGGAGATGGGGTGGGGTGGGGCCAGCAGCCCTGGGTGGATGCGTGGGCCTCTGGGAGGCCCTGGGCCACTGACAGTGCCTTTGCCCTCGGGCCAGTCCCGATTGGCCTGGTCACTGAGGCAGAGGAGTGCAGGAGATGGGAGGGGCTGGGTCCAGGGTCCCCCTGGCCTGGTCCCTGGCACCCTTGGCTGGCTGACGGCATTAAACTGTGTGCTGTAGTCCACCTCCTTCCCAGTGGGCTGAGGTGGCATACTGCACACACACCTTGGCGACAGGCTGAGCCCAGGCTCCATCAGAAAGTAAAGGCGAAGGGGACCGGAGACAGGAAGCAGAGACACAGGCAGGAGCCTGCTGGGCTGTTCCCCTGAGGCACAGCCAGGGCTGCCCTGCTCAAGGTGGTGCAGTTCTGGGTGTCTGGCAGGGCTGAAAGCAAAGAGGAAAGCTCCCAGCAGCCCGTGGTCCACCTGTCACGTGTCTGCTGGGCTGGGTGGGCAAATCTGGCAGCAGGAGGGGCCCACAGGTGGGCACATGGAAACTTCTTGCCTCTGTAGTGCTGCCGGCCTGGTGAGAACAGCTAGCACTGGCCCTCCCCGCCCCTCATCCTCTGGCTACAAGATGACCACCGAGGACTACAAGAAGCTGTGAGTATACAATGCCAGACCCAGCTGGTTCCCTCCTCCAGGGAACGAGCCAAACACTGGGTCCCTGAAGACAGCTGGCCCAGGAGAGCTGGTCCCACTGGCTTGACACCCCCTGTCAGTTGTTGCTGTGGCCTGGAGCCCACCAGAGGGCTACAAGCCCCAGAAAATTGCATGACACTTCAGATCTCAGGCAAAGCAGGGACTTGTAGGAGGGGCCCTATGGGTCTGGAGAGGGGTCTGGGGTCCTGGGTCATGGCCCTGGGGCCACTGCGGGCTGGCTTCAGGCTCTCTGCCTGGGCTGGGCTGGCTCTGGCAGCCTGTCAATATGGGCATTTTGTGCCTAAGTCAGAGCTGCTTCTGGCATATAAATCTTTGGTGTTACCCCTGGAGCTCCCCTTGGGATCCCTCTCAAGGGTTCCCCTGCATGCCCCAGGAGGGGAGCTCTGGACAGAAGTGTGAGTTGTGTTCCACATCTTTCTATTGTTTGTCCCTTGTCACCATCATCCAGTGATGTGGAGCACCTGGGAAATCTTTCTGGGGAAGGAGCGAGGCTTGAACAGGGTCTTGAGGGACAGCTAAGCTCACAGCAGGAGGGCTGGCTCTAAAGCAGGAAGGAGCAAAGGCCCCCGGGCAGCAACACCCTGGTCAGTCAGCCACGCTGCTGAGAGTGGCAGCCTGTGACAGGGAACCGCCTCTCCCCTCCCCCAGGGCGCCCTACAACGTGCGGCGCAGCTCCACATCAGGGAATGCCGAAGAGGAGGAGGCGCCCTTCTCTTCCGATGAGCAGAAACGGAGGTAAAGGTGTTCTCTGGGCACCTCGGGTGGCAGGGCAGGGGCCCTGGTCTTTGAAGACTGCTGAAATGAATTGGGCCAGTTGAAGTGACAGAATGCACAACGTGCGGGCCATCAGCAGTGGCCTGTGGGGTTTGGAAATAGATGTCATTCTGTGAGTACCAGAACCACCCAGTGAGTGCCGGACCGGCTCAGGGGGCCTCTTCAGAACCTTCCGTGGTGTAGAACCTGGAGAAGCCACCTACACAGTGCCCTCTGTGTGAGTGCTGTGTGCAGAGTCCCGGCAGGCCCTGCACGCCCGCGGGACGGGGTGGACCCCACGGTTCTGAATGCCCCTCCGTGCACACAGGCAAGCAAAGCTTCTTGGACCTCAAAGGATGAAAAGCCCATCTGTCACCCATGCTCACTGTATACCCTCTATCCAAGGGGACTGAGCCCACACCACCCAGCGCCAGTGAGCTATGACAGGGAGGGATGGCTGAGTGCCTTCAGCTTGAGGCCTGGGCAGCAGCGTGGCCCCGAGGAAATAAAGCCCCGGTCCCTGGGCTCAGCCTGCCCTCAATTCCACGTGTGCCGAGCTGCCTGTGGCTCAGGAGGCACAGCCACGCCCCCTTGTGGGAGGCCTAGGAAGATCGGCCATCCCAAGGGAAGAGTTCACAGTAGCGAGGGTCCCCAGGTAAAGAACCAGGCCCTCTGGAGCAGCCTGGCATGGGATGCCCACTCTGCCACCCTGGGGAGTGCTCTCAGGCAAGTCATGAAAGCTCCCTGGCTTGCGTCCCCGTCTGTGAGTCATGGAGGATACTAGCTCCTGCTTTCCTGGGCTGAGAAGACTGATGAGCCAATGTGGGCACGCTGGCACCCAGAGCAGGGCTGGGCACACACTGCACGCTCAGTAAATGTTTCTCCCTGGGGTGGCCCTGAGGAATCCAGACTCCATCCTGGGCTAGGCTGGCAGAGTGTGTCCAGCTTGGCACCCCATCAGATGCCACCCACTCCCGTGCTGCCCCAGGTCAGAGGCTGCAAGCAGTGTGGTGAGGAAAACAGCTCCCCGGGAGCACTCCTACGTCCTGTCGGCAGCCAAGAAGAGCACTGGGTGAGTTGCAGAGCAGGGACACCTGGTGAAAGAGTGGTGGCGAGATCACCCCCAAGGCCCTCCTAGCTGGACTTTCTCTGATTCTCAGATGCACATTCTAGAAACTGAAGGGTCTGGCTGCTGCCATCAGGGCGAGTGAGGTGCTGGAAATGGGAGAGAAGCCCAGGACCCTGTGGGGTAGAGCAGTCATGATGTCGCCTGTTGACGGGCTCCACTCAACATGTCACTTTTCTGTTTCCTTTCCAGCAGTCCTACCCAGGAGACGCAGGCGCCATTTATTGCAAAGAGGTAAGTGTCATCAAGACAAGCCTCGGAAGCCTATCGCAGGCCCCAGAGAAGGCCTCCTGCCAGCAGGGGTGTGGCTTGGGTGCTGGGGAGAGGGGATGTGGGGATGGGGAGCACCTGGGGGGCTGTGCTGGCACATGTGGCCGAGCTCTTCCATTTGCCCAGGGTTAATGTGGCTGGGCACCTGGCCCAAGGTGGAGCTGTGGTGTTTCCAGGCTCCAGCTCCTCCAGAGCTCTGTAGCAGAAGCTACCGGGTGACGAAGGAGTTGTTGCCTTGCCTGCCCGTGAGAGGTGGCTAGCTGAGGACCGAAAAACAAGAAAGAGCCAGCATGCCAAGTGTTCCAGGCAGAGGGCCCAGCTGGAGCAAAGGCTGACTGGAACGGGGTGGTGGCCACACAAAGGAAGTGACAGAGAATGGGGTGTTCTTACTGGCTGGATTGGGTTCCTGGGGCGTCTATAATAAAGCCCCGCAAACTGGGGTGCTTAAAACAGCAGGAATAGATTCTCTTACAATTTTGGAGGCCAGAAGTCTGAGATCAAGGTGATGGCAGGGTGGATTCCTTCTGGAGGCTCTGAGGGAGGCACCATCCCAGGTCTGTCTCCCAGCTTCTGGCGGTTGCTGCCGATCCTTGGCTTGTACCTGCAACCCTCCAGCCTGTGCCTCTGTCTTCACGTGGCCTTCTTTTCTCTGTGTGTCTGTGTCCAGATTTCCCTCTCTTAGAAGGACACCAGTCATTGGTTTAGGACCCACTCTACCCCAGTATGACCTCATCTTACCTGATTACGTCTGCAAAGACCCTATTTCCAAATAAGGTCACAGTCACAGGTTCCAGAGGGACATGAATTTGGGGGAGACAATATTCAACCCAGTATGCTGTCCTTATCCTGAGCTGAAGTGGCTGAGCCTCCAGCCTGGGTCACCTCATGGCCCTAGACCAGTTAGACACCACTGAAAGCATGTCCTTCAAAGGCTAGCAGGCTCCAGGGCACCAAGATGACCACGAGTGCCATTTCTCTTCCTGCCTGAAGGGTTGAGGTGGTGGATGAGGACGGGACTTCTGAGAGGAGCCGGGACCCACTTGCTCTGGCAAGACACACTCCTGGCTCGAGCAGGTAACCAACCACTCATCTGTGCCTGCCACTCAGTCACTGTGGAACCTCTGTCAGGCCACCTCCCTTCTGGGCCTCAAGGTCAGTGTCCCCATGTGCCCAGTGACAGGATGGGGCACAGAAATCAGTAAAGTGCCATCTGGCTGGATGTCCCAGAGCTGAAAGGAGCAGCACAGCCCGGCCTCCAGGGAGAGAGTGCCTGGCTCTTGTCTGCTTAGTACTTATCTGTGTCACCTTAACCCTTGCACCGCTGAGCTCAGTGGTGGCACAACACCCCAAGAAAAAGTAGCAACCTTGGTGTTTGAGAGGGCCGACCACCACGGCGGTAGCCCGCCACTGTCAGGCTTGCTCCTGACACTCCTGTGAGTTGCCCAAGTTCAACATGCCTGGGGAGGAGGCTCTGCCCAGCACCGCTCACAGCTGCCTTCTTTGCCAGCGTGGATGGAGGCAGAACCAAAATGTCTCGGGCGATTTGGATCGAGCGCGCATCAAATGTGCCTAGTCCCGCTGGCAGCCGGGCGCTCAGGTGGGTGCCGAGAGCTGGCTCTGGCCTGTGGGCTGGTTCGATGCTTTCCCGCCAGCCTGGCCGGGTCTGGCTGTGGGGTGACAGGGCAGGGGCAGGCTGGGCACTGGCGATCTCACTCCAGGCAGGGCTGTGATTTGCCCTGATTTCTGAGCCCCGAGTGTCCGGGGCAGATAATGGTGTTCTCTTGTCTGCGGATGAAGAGCAATCAGTACCTCCTTGTACTTTGTGCTGAATGGTGCTAAGTCCCACAGGGAGTGCCACCGCCCTGTGTTGCTGCTGTTTAAAGCACCTGCCTGGATTGAGACCTTTGCCTAAATCCAGGTCTGCTAAGAACTACACCTCTGTAGCACCCTTGGAATAGCCCTGAGGCCAGCCATTTGCAGACATGTGACCACCACCCTCAGGGCCACTTCCTCTGTGCCAGGCCCCGTCTCCAAATACAGTCACATTCTGAGGTACTGGAAGTTAGGTCTTCAACATAGGAATTTGGGGGCACATAAGTCAGCCCATAACAGCATATATTTCTCTTTTGAAAAAAGGCAATGAATGGTTTGAGATGCCTTTTAAAAACCAATGTAGGAGGAGAATTAGGTTGTGCTGTATTATGGATTTAAGAGGCATTTTGACATTTATTCCAGAAAATTCCTTTGGATGTTTAATACCCATCATATGGCTGTCATAGTAAGGTGGCTATCTTAGTTTGTTGGGGTTGCCATAGCAAAGTACCACAAATTGGGTGGTTCTAACACGAGAGATGTATTATTTCCCAGTTCTGGAGGCCGGAAGTCCAAGATGGAGGTGTTGGTAGGGCTGGTTCCTTCTGAGGGCTGTGAGGGAAGGCTGCGTTCCAGGCCTCTCTCTTTGGCTTGAAGATGACTGTCTTCTCCGTGTGTCTCTTCACACTGTCTTCCTTCTGTGCGTGTTTCTGTGCCCAAATACCCTCTTTTTATGAGGACACCAGTCGTATTGGATTAGGGCCTGCCCTAATGACCTTACTTTCACTTGATCACCTCTATAAAGGTCACCTCTATAAGGTCACACTCTGAGGTACTGGGGTTATGATTCCAACATATGAATTTTGGGGGGACACAACTCAACCCATGATAGGAGCTGAGGAAGGCAGAGACTTTAAAATGTCAGCCTGGAGCAACTGGATGGCTGGAGGTGCAATTTACAGAGCTGGGAAGAAGTTGTGTTTGGCTGAAGCCATGCTGCAAAGAGCTATGGGCCACAGATAGGTGGCTCCAGACATCCAAGGAAGCACCTGTGTATTTCCCAGGGCGAGAATGGAAACCGCCCGCGGATTGTCTGAGCCACCAGTAGCAGTGGGAGAGAAAGGTGAAAAGCAAATATGCCTGGGTTAGCAAAGCATCCCAAAGTTTGGGAATTGGGAGATAGAGGAACGGCGTGGGGTGCTCAGTCTGGAAAAGAACAAGCTTAGGGGGCCAGGGCCACAGCCTTCCTGTCCTAGGCTGTGTCCCCAGTATGCTGCCTGGCAGAGCAGCTGGGGAGCAGTAAGAGCACAGCTTCTGGCACAAAACAAAACCTCAGCTTTGCCTCGTGCTGGCTGTGTGACCTTGAGCAAGTCTCTTCACCTTCCGTGCCTCAGTTTCCTTGTATGTGAAATAAGGAGAGCAGTAACAGCTCCTTCCTGAGGCTTTCCCAAATACGAATGGGATAGCGCACAGAAAGCACCTAACGTAGTGCCTGGCCCCAAGTCCTTGGGTGCACGTGATCCAAGGCAGGAAGAGACCAATATCGCCGCCTGCTGGCACCTGCGGGAAATGCGGCTAAAGGCCGTGAGAAAGAGATACCCCTCTTCCCCTGCCGCCCCCTCTTCTAGCAGGATGAGTCACGTACTCTTTGGCACAGGCCACTGTCCTTGGAATTTCCACAGGTGGCTGGGGCCACAATGGATGTTCGCTGATGAGTTTTGGGCCTCGAGCTTCAGAAGACTCTGGCTCTGCATTCTCTGAGTGCCTTCCAAAGGTGTGCAGCCTTCCAGAGTGTTCCTGGCCTCCAGTAGTCCAGCTCTGGACTTCAGTCTGGACTAGAGCTGTCTGCGGTTGAGGGGCAGGGGAGGTGGTGGGCTGGTAGGGGCTGCAGGGACGGTGCTGGCAGGGCCACACTCCCTCCGAAGGCTCTGGGAGAGAATCTATTCCTTGTCATTCTCTTAGCTTTTTTCCCCACAGTCCTTGGTGTTTCTTGGCTGGTGGCTGCATCACTCCAGTCTGCGCCTCTGTCTCCACGTGGTTGTCTTCCCTCTGTGTGTCTGTATTCAAATTTCCCTCGTCTTATAAGGACACCGGTCACTGGATTAGAGCCCACCCTACTCTACTAGACCTCATCTTACCTTGATTACATCTGCAAAGACCTTATTTCCAGATAAGTTCACAGGCACAGATACCAGGAGTGAGGACTTCAATATATCTTTTTGGGGGACACAATTCAACCCTGTTAACAGCCGCCCTGAAATAGGTGCCATTTCAGCTGAGTCTTTAAGAAGGCATTGCTCAGGGGGACGACAAAGGAGGAAGAAGGCACAGGGACACGAAAGAGAGGGCAGGCTGGGGTGACACTTTGTCGCTATTTCCTCTCTGAAAGAACCAGAAACATCAGTGAGAAAACACGCTTTACTTGCCTGTGATGTGGCCAAGTCAGGCGCGTCCCTGTTCCCTGGCACCATGTGCTTCAAATAGGCAGAGTGGGGCCAGCAGCCAGGGGCTTTATGCTGTCATCATGAACGATGTCATCTTTAACAACGATGTCGTCATCATTATCGTGAGAGGAGTTGGGCAGAAATCAGAGCTACTGTGTACTGGGCCCCTTCCTGGCTTTTTTCCTCTGGTTACATGGGTGCTCCAGGCCCCTCCCAGGGTGGACGTGGAGGGACAGGGACAAGCAGCCCACTGACCCAGCCCTCCATGGCCTCCCAGTCGGACTAGGTTGGAGCCATACACCAGGGTCAAAGGCAGCTGAGAGCAGCCAAGCTACCTGGGCTCACCCGAAGTGGGGGACTACTCGCCTCCCTGCTTTCACCCTGGTCTCTCCAACCCCTGCTCCTTCCGGGACCCCTGAGTGGCCTTTCTAAAGTGTCAGCCTGATCCTATCAACCCCCCGCCCCCCACTTCAAGCCCACCCCGTGCCATCCCTTTGCGACCCCAGATCTGGTCTCAGTATTCAAGGCCCCTGCCAGCTTCCACCTCTTCCTCCCACCTCCCTTCAGCTGGCCTGGGTCGGGCTCCACCTCCACGAAGCTTGTCCAGTGCCCTGGGGCTGGATTTGCTCTGGGGCCCACAGCACAGTACAGTCGGTTCCCACGCCACTCTGCCCCCACCCTGCCCTCACTGGGCCGGGAGCTTTATCAGGCAGGGCAGGCTTGGGCCTCTCTCTTCTCTGCACCTGCAGAGCCTGGGGGCAACTGAAGGATGGAGTGGGTGGCTGCAGTGTGACTTGGGCTGAGGCCTCACTCTGTGGACCTAGGGAGGTCTGCTTTGGGGTGAAGGATGCACCCTCCATATAACACCAGGGAGCTCCAGATTCTCTCCAGCCCTGGCCAGCAGCATGGCCAAACCTGCTGGGCGTCAGGCCCTGCAGTGAGGCCAAACAATGTATCAAACTCAGAAGGATGTGTGGTCACCCCGGGCCAGCTGTGAGCATGGCTGGCAGTGGAAAACCTCAAAGGGGCCCTTTGTGGACCGAGTCGGTGCAGTCCTCCGGTTCCAGCTCACAGGCACCTGGGCACTCGCCCTCCAAGTCTCCGCCATCCCCTCCCACTGGCTGTCATCCCCAACAGTCCCCATCAGCCCCTGGACTCAGAATCCCCCCTGGCCTTGCAAGTAGCCACTTTGGGTGCCCCTGCAAGTGGTTGGCAGCATCGCAGGTGACAGCCACAGGCCAGGCATTGGGGCTGCACCCGAGGGAGGACTGCCTGCATTCAGGTCAGGGGTGGGAGGCTGGGGCGTGCAGGTCACCGGCCTGAGCTCAGCTGCAGCAGCAAGAAGACTCAAGGCCCAACAGCAGAAAAGAGGGAGGGGGTGATGGGTGTGGGTGTCCCAGCGCACTAGCCGGGAGGCTCCTGAGGGAGAATGTCCTCGGACACCTAACACAGGTGGGGAAGAGGGAGGCTTTTCTCACCAGCAACTCTCCGGGTCTCTCCCTTGGCACACAGCTCGAGAGGTGAGGAAATTGTCCGCCTGCAGATCATGACACCCAGGGCAGGACTCCGTCTGGTGGCCCCAGACCTGGAAGGCATGAGGTACGGGGCCCTGCTGCTGTCCTGGCTCCCTGCACAACATTCTAGAGACGGGGTCAGCAGGGCCCAGGGGCTGATTCCGCCACCGTAGTGCTCACAGGTTGGTGGGAGGCATGGTTGACCTGGGTTCTCTGCCCTTGTCTCATTCTTTCACTCAGCAACTGTCATGGAGTGAGCGCTTGGTCCGTGTGAGGCCACAGGTCAGGCCCTGGGACCCAGTGGTGACCCCATCTGCTGGAGTCGAGCATGAGCTAGGTCAGGCCTGTCATGTGCCAGGAGCCCCCGGGAAGTGCCGGCTCAGCCTGCTGAGCCCTGAAGACAGGACCAGCCAGCTGTGCTGGGGGGACACGAGGACTGCGGAGCCCCCTGAGGCCACTGGGGCAGTTGCCCTGCCTGTGTGAGGGGGCTGGTGGGAATAAGGCAGGGTCACTGGGCCAGCCTCCACAGCTCTCCATGTCACTGGCCCATGCTGGGGACAAGGAGAGACAGGAGGGCCCCCACCAGCAGGGAGCATGATGGGCCCAGCCCCTGCCCTAGGGTGGGGACAGACAGCCAGGTGACAGGCAGGCAGGGTGTAGGGGCTGGGGTGCGAGTTAGGGGAGATCTGAGCAGGGAAGCCCAGAGTCTGGAGAGGGGGCGGGAGTGCACGCTGGAGGTCATCAATCCCCCTAATCCCCGGGCCGGTGGGAAGCCTTTCACCATCGTTGTGGGGGTGCTCAGGGAAGGCTTCCTGGAGGAAGTGACATCCAAGATGAGTCTTGAGCGACCTCTAGGTCCCTTTACTCTCCTCCTTGGCTCCTCTCTCTCTAACCCTGCCCACTCGCAGCGCCACCCCCAAGCAGGCACCGACTCCTGTCCATTTGATTCTAGAGATATTTCCACCCCTCCTGCCCCACTGCGGGTCCAGGCTTCCACCATCACTTGCCCAGCCACCTGGCCCTGTTTCCTCCTGTCCTGTGGCCAAACTGCCCTCCTGTCCTGTGGCCAAACTGCCGTTAGGCAGCCCTCTGCAGAAAAGCCTGCAGTCCCCTCCGCCCCCTCTGCAGCCTGAGCTCCTCCCTTGTCCTGCTGTCGCCTCCCAGCCTTTGTCTGTGCAGCTGTGGACTCTGCCTGGAGTATCCTTTCCTCTTGGCATTGTGCAGTCCCACCTCAAGTGTCCTCTCCTCTGGGGCACCTTCCTCTCCTGCGTTTCTTCCTCAGGCAGTGTCTGAGGGGCTTTCCTGCTGAGGTCACACAGCACCGTGTTCGTACCTGCGCCAGAGAATCTTCCACACTGTGTCACAATTGCCCACTCAGAGACCGGTCTCCCCAGGGGCTGTGGCTCAGTGCTCCCTGCATTCTTTTCTGGCCAGAGCGGCATGCAGGGACTGCTGCTGGCATGACTGACTGCGCATCATCCGGCACGATGTCTCTAGTAAGGCGACGTTGGAAGCTGCTTCCTTGGTTCCCCTAAGGCGACCAGTCTCTGAGGAATGGGCAAAGTGACCCTGAGAGATGCAGAAGGGAGCAAAGCTGCTTGTGTGGAAGGCCCCTGCTGTGTCCCCCACCTCCAGAGCCCACTGAGATCCCTTAAGAGGAGAAAGACGAAAAGCTAGTGGGGGAGGGGAGGGCGGGGTAATGGAAGGACTTAGTGTTTGCTGAGTAAACTCATTTGATGAGTTTGTTTGCAGGCACCCAAGTCAGCATATGAAGGAGGGAGGCATGTGAGGGTTTGTGAGTGAGGTTTGGGAGAGGCAGTACTGATGACTTGACAACATGCGGCTCCCTGATGACCTCAGAGAGGACAGAGACAGAGGGGAGGCTGAAAAGGTGGTTAGGGTCAGTTTTACACCGAGAAGGAATCTAGTCCAGATCACAGCTCTTCCTCTTATTGTTTGCAACTTGGGGCAAGTCACTTGGGCTCTCTGTGCCTCAGTTTGCTTGTCTGGAAAATGGGCATGGATGATAACAGTGCCCATGTCCTGGGGGTGACGTGGAGAGTTAATGCATATAAAGGCACGAGAACAGGCTCTGGCCCTCAATCAACAGTAGCTATTAATAATGAGGTTTTGAGGAGCAGCCAAGCCATCAACAGCAGGTTTTAAGTGCCTTGGAGACAACTGGCATTTGAGGATGAGGTGACTGCCCCAGCTAAGTGTGAGTGGCTGGTGCGTGGCTAACTTACGTTTCTTTCCTCCATAGGTCTTCCCCCAGCCACAAAGACAAGGAGGCACCTTGCTCCAGAAGGCTTGAGAGGGACTTGGCTGGTGAGGAGGCTGTCAGGGGCACTGACACAGACTCCGAAAGGTAACTCACAGCAGGGAGCAGACTCGTCATCTCCAGCTGAAGGGCCTTCGTGGTCCCTGGCCCAAGGTCAATGGATGAAGCTGGGACCAGCACTGTCCTGTTCCAGCTGTGTCCTCAATGCCTGGGATAGTGCAGGAGTTCAATAAATATCTGTTGAACAAACGAATGAATGAATGAGGCCTGGGGAGGGGAAGGCCCCTGCTAAGATCCCTCAGGGAGCCAGCTGCAGACAGTACCAAACACCCACTGTGCCGCCCTTGACCCGCACAGGGTTCCTTCCATTCACCTGGAGCTTCCAGGGCAGTTTGGGAGAGCTGGTGACCAAAGGATACATGGCCCCCATAGAGCATCTAGCAGGGACTTTCAGGATGACCTGTGGACAAAGGGGGACATTGCGCATGGGGAGGGGGATCAAGGATGGGAAGTGGGGCTGTGGTGGGGCATGATGGGCTTGGTGAGCGGTGGCTGCAGGTTGAGTATTCCTCAGAGGGAACCTGGTAGCCAGTAACAGGTAAGAGCCCACATACCCTTCTGGCCACTGTGGAGCCTTGGAGCCCCCAGTCGGGACTCTGAGCTGGGAATGAGGAAAGGGGGCCCTCTGTGGCTTTGGCCCTTGCTCTGTTGGCCATCAGACCCCCAATGTGCAGGCCTCCTCCTGAGGGTCCACCTTGCTCTGTTTCTTGGCTTCACTCTTGCTCCCAACCCATCAGGTTTGGAAGAAACGTAGAAATACTTGCTGTTGGAGTCAGCTTGGGCTTGGCTCAGCTCCAGTCAGAGTAGCCAGGGCCTGTGCTTCTGGTCCTGAGGCCACTCTCATGACATTTGAGTTAGACAGTATCAAACCCAATCAGTGTCAGCAAATGCTTCTCTTCTCATACCAGGTCAAGTGCACAGTCAAGTGGTGGCAACGTGGGATCCGGAGCCACAGGGTCCCCACCTGAGGGCTTGGCTGGAGCAGATGTTGCTTCTGAAAGAGGAGGGTAAGCTGCCTCGGGGAGGCGGGTTCTGTCATGTCTCTGGTCACTTCTTGTCTACTGCTTCCCACACTCCGTACCCCACCATAGCCTTTGTCCGTGGGCTTTCCACTTCTTGGAATCACCTATGCTTGAATCTTATTCCTTCTTCTGCCTCCTGCCATTGGCTCTCAAGTTCCTCCAGAGCAGGCACAAGGCCCCCCTCACATCTGGAGGCCCAGCCCCAACCTGGGCAATAGAACGAACGTGCAGGGAATGCATGCAGGGACAAAGTAACGAATGCATGACCGAATGATGGAGGAATCGGTGCCTTCTTACTTCCTGGCTGAACCCTGGGGACCTCACTTCCCTTCCAGCAGTCCCACAGCCTCTTTCCTGCCCCAGCCTCTGCTTGGCCACCTCTGCTCTGAGGTTCAGTGCGATGGAAAGCAGCGGCCTTGCTGAGAGTACCTGGGAGACAGACACGTCCAGCGGGGCTCTGGGTTCCGCACCTGGGTGGAGTCAGGGGCCGCTTTGTCAGGTGATTTGGGGAATGGCAAGTCCCACCCGTCCCTAAGTGGTTTCAACCCAAGCATGAGTCATCCTTGGGGACAAAGGCTAGGTATGCAGATGTTGGCAAAACAGTTCAGTTCCAAACTGTGCTAGAGCCCTTGTGGTTGAGAGCAGATGGCTAGAGAGGAGTGGCAAAGCTGCCCCCACGCCCTTCCGCAGTGTGGCCAAGGAGGGATCCTGAGGAGGAGCCCTGCCGACTGCTTTCCTGCCTGGCCCTACCCAGCTGCCCCCACCTCCCCAAGGCCACCAGGGGCCCCTTTCCCTCACTAATTTAATAGTTTGCAATTGATACCTGGAGCCAGAGCCCCAACTTCTACATCCAGGACCACAAGCCAACAAGGGAAATGGACAGCAGGCCCAGGCCTCTGAGCAGGTCCACGGAAAGGCCCCTGCCAGACACTGGCTGCTCTGAGCTGGCCCCAATGGGTGGGATGTCCTGGAGCCCAGCCGGTGCAGTCTGCATCTTGTTGCTGTCTGCACAGGCATCAGAAGGATCTTCTCAAAAATACGTTAGATCACATTTCTCCCCTGTTTAACCTGCCAGTGGCTCCCCACTGTCCTTGGAATAAAGTCCAAATCCCTTTCCACAGCCCACGGGGTTGTGTACTGTCGGGACTTTGGCCTCCTGCCACTCTCCCCATGCTGGTGCAGATCAACTGGCTTTGCTCATGGCCATCGTAAAAACTCCTTTATCGTCTTTCCAGAGTAAAGGCTGTTTCTCATGGAAACAACCACTATTCTTTTCCATTCATTTTCATGAGTTTACTTAATAATTGAATTTAGTGATTATGGTTGCAAGTACAACTGACATAAACAGGTTTGGGACCAGACACGAGGGACTCTTAGCTGCTACGCTGCTTAAGTGGAGGGCACAGGCTTGTATAGGCAACGGGGTGCCCCATGGGCAGTGACTGTTCAGCATGCTGGGAGCATCAGTTTTCCTGTTTTTCCCCAGGGGAAGGCTGGGTAAATCCGTATCAAGTGGGTGGATACAGATGGACTGGGAAGGGACACTGCTTGTACACGTGGCCACAGGGCCCAGTGACAACAGGAACATGTTAACATATGTTACAGCCTGGGCGTTATTTGAAGTACTTGGCATCTGTGAACTCATTTACTCTTCTCATAATACTTATGAGGCAGACATGATTCTCATCCCTATCTCACTGTTGATAAAACTGAGGCCCGAAGAGGTCAGGTAATGTGTCCAAAGTCACACAGCTCGTAAGTAGCAAAGCTGTGATTTGCATCTTGGCAACATGCTTCCAGAGAGCATGCACTTCACCCCATGCCACACTGCCCCAGGTGTCAGGATGCCTTGGGATATAAGTACTGTGCCCCAAACATCCGTTTGAACAGCTCCTCAGTCCTTGTCATCTGTCAGAGACAGAAGCCACCCTCTCGAGAGAGGGTGGACATATAGACACAAAGTCCTGAACCCGAACCAGGCTTGGCCTCCTTCCACAGGCTGGGCTCGGCTGCTAGCTTCGCCCCTTTCCTGGATGATCGGGATGTACATGGTGCCAACTCTCAGTCCTGCAAGCCCGGACCAGCAGCCATCAGGTAAAGATGGGGCAACTTGGGTCCCAAGCAGGAGTTAGGAAGAGGAATGACAGGGACAGCCAGCCAGCACTAGAGGGCCCAGTCCAGGGGGCACATCGCAGGTGACTGGGAAGGCCAAAGGCTCCAGGGACACAAAGGTATGAGGGGAAGAGGTTGTGTGTGTCCAGGCAGTAGGCTTCTGCTCTATTTCATCTACCGATCTTCCAGTGGGAGTGACCATTTTGCTGGAGGTGTGTGGAGCATTTGGCAAGCCCTAGTAAGGAAAGATCTTTCTCGACTCCCACAAACTCCAAGGAGGTATAGGTCGGGTAAGGATACTGGAACCCAAAACCAGGAGGAGACTTCCCCAGGGAACCCGAGGTGGTCAGGGGCAGTGCTTGGTCTTGAACTCAGGTGCTCAGGCCACATCCAAGGCTGACGCAATGTTATCACACACAGTGGCAACTGTGCCACACTAATGACAGGAGTAAGAAGCCAGCCTTTCCGGTGAGAAGGCAGCCAGGAAGGGGAGCCTCCATTGGTCTGAGGTCTCAGTGGGCCCCTGTGCTTCATCCCTTAGTTCCAGTGCCACTTTGGTCTCTGCTGTCCCGGCTGATAGGAAGAGTGACAGCACAGCAGACCTGGAGGACACAAAGGAAGACCCAAAGGGGTAAGGCATCAACAGACAGTGCTGAGCTTCTCAGGTGGACGTCAGCCTTTGGTTGGGGAAGGGAGGCCCAGCGAGGCTTGTGAGCTGGCCTGAGGCACGTGGCAAGGGCAGAAGCCCCAGCTGGAACCCTCTGGCTTCTGGGCTCCGAAGCTTTTCACTAACCCTGTTGTACTTCCGGCCAGTAAGTACATACACCATAATCAGGAATGGTCACCTTCTTTCAGTCAGCAACCACTCTGACAGCACCTGGCCTTTGCTGGGGCATACAGACAAATAAGACGTGGCCCTGCCTTCAAAAAGCTCTCAGGTGGTGGGGTGGGCAAAGCCTGGCCCAGGTTGGAACAACACATCAGGAGAAGGGGGCTTCGTGGGAAGGTGGCTTTTGAGCCACCTCCTGGAAGGAGTTCACCTTCCTGGTGAACCTTGAAAGGTGAACAGGAGTCCTTCAAGCAGAAGGAACAGGATATACAAAGGGCTCAAGAGAACCTGGTGTTTCCTGGGCACCATTCATAGCCGGGCATGGCCAGCAGTGAGGGTCCTTGTCAGGGAGTGCTGGAAGAGGAGGCTCAAGTAAGCAGGCAGGGGCTGATTGGCATTTGTACCATATTGTTAATGATCATAACAGCTACTTAATTTGGGGGCACCTACTGTGTGCACAGCCCTCTACTCACAATGTTTCCTAAAGTTCTCCCCACAGTCTCTTAAGGTTTATGTCTAACTGGAATGAGAAACAAAGGCCTGGAACCCAGGTCTCTGTGCCTCCTGGGAAGTATAGTGCTATGAAGAAAACAGGCAGGGTGATGGTGGTGAGGGGGGCTACAACTTAGGTGGGCGGAGGGGGCCACTCAGAAGAGCTACTCTAAAGAGAGGGAAGCACCTGTAGAGAGAGCAGGGAGAAGAAAGCAGATAGGGAACCACAAACCTAATGACCCTACGGTGGGAGTGTGCTGCGCCCAGCTGGCGAGGGGGACCTTAGATGGAGCAGGGTCTTGGTAAGCCATGATAAGGAGATTGGCTCTTGTTTCAAGTTTTAAGCCAAAGAGCCTGATATGATTTAGATGTTTAAAAGCTGAATGCATGTTTGCATTTTCACACCACATTGCAGTTGCTTTTTGTACTTAAACCAGGATGCTGGGGAGTGGGGTGGGTAATGGATACCCACAGTATGGGGCCTTATTATGTGACTTCATTTCTGCTTCAATTTGCTCTGACAACAGAGAAAACAATAGCTGACACCTGTAGTGCGCTGTGCTAGGAGCTTTACAGTCTTCCCAGCAACCCTGTGAGATGGATGAGGTGGGGAAGCTGAACCACAGAAAGGTTAGGTGACTTATCCAAGGCCTTACAAGAAAAACCTCAGGGGAAACTAAAAAGCTACTTTATGAAATATGTTCTTTGGAGCCTATTCTCAAGACCCAGAACCAGTAACTTCTAGCTGGTTAACACATAAAGCATGATGTATGATCTCATCTGATCCTCCTGGAACGTGGTAAAGGATCAGGCTTCTTATTATGCAACTTGACAGAGGAGGGAAACTGAGGGACACAGTCCTGTGACACACACAATTAGGAAAAGAGCCCAGATATGGCCAACTATAGAGCCCAGGCTCAGAACTACTTTCCTCTGATGTTTAAAAGTTTGCTGCACGTGAGAATCACCTGGGAAGTATTAACAAACAAAACAAAACCGAACTAAAACCTTTCTTAGCCCCAGGTGGAGATTTGGATTTAATTTTTCTGGGGTGGACCTTCATTATCCACGTCTTTGTAAAATTCCCCAGTTTATTCTCTCCAGTGTAGGTTAAGAACCATTGTTCTAGGGTAGCGGTTGTGAATCAGGGGCATCTCTCGAACCTCCCAGCCCCCTAGGGTACATCTAGCAATGTTCAGAGACATTTTCCGTTGTCACAACAGGGGATGAAGATACTACTAGCTTCTAATGGGTAGAGATGTGGGACGCTGCTAAACAGCTTGCAGTGCACAGGACAACGCCCGCGCCTCTCCCAACACACACGACAGAATTATCCTGCCCAAATGTTAATAGAACTGAGGCTGACCCCCTGCTCTAGAGCGTCCGCAACCTGTGTGGTGCGCTAGACCGGGAACGGAAAAATAAACGGGGCGGCCCAGAGAGGAACCTCCCGCCCTCCGGAGTCTAGGCGACAGACGCGGCACGACTGCGCCTGCGCGGATGCGCATCCGACTCGCGCGGACCCAACTTCGCGCTCGCGAGATTCGGCGAGCGTGCAGCCGTCGCCAGTGCGCCTGCGCTCGCCGCCATTTCCTGCAGCCGCGAATCCGGGTCGCAGTGGCCGCCGGGAAAACGCTCCGTCCGCCACGCGAAATGGCCGACCCGGGCGAGATCGGCCACGACGGGGACGCTCCCGGGGCCGTGGCCGCGCCGGCCGCCAGATGGCGCGCCAGGATCACAAATGGGCCTGCCGCCCCTTGGGGCCCCGCCCCGGGCTCTGGCTGCCCTTCCCCCCACAGTACAGTCGGCTGCGGTGGCCCGACAGGCCCGGGGTGACCGCGTGTGGACCGTCGCCGGCCCCCCATGCTCTGGCGCAGGTGGGAGGAAGCGCGGTGTCCGCACGGAGCCCGAGGGGGCTCCTGCGGCCCGACCTTGTTTTCCAGGGCGCCCATAGGGACCATCGCCTCTTGGACGGTGGACACTGGTGTGCAGCGATGTCCAGGGGCAGGCTATGCACGTGCGCGGAGGGCAGCTGCACCCTCCACCTCGAGGCACCTCGGGCAGACCTGGGCTGGGCTGTGGCGCTCAGGGATGAGGCGTTAGTTCCCTAGAGTTAGATGAGGGCGCATCATGGGGCGGCGAGGTCCTGCAGAGCAGGGGAACCTTACTCTTCCCAGACTACCACGCAATTTCAACTGTACGATACTCTAGAGATTTGCCCTATTCTACCTTGGACCTGATCCATCAGCCCTACAGGGAAGCCTAGTGGTTGAGAGCATGGATTCTGGTGCTTAGGTTCAATTTCAAACTCTGACACTTACGTTGACAGAAAAGCAGCCAAACTCTAAAATAATTTAAAGGGGTTTATTCTGAGCCAAATTTGAGGACCATGACTGGAGGCACGCCTAAGAAGCCTTGAGCAAGTGGATTCCCTGTGGCTGGGTTACAGTTTGGTCTTATACATTTCAGGGAGTCAGAGATTAAAGGTAAAGTCATAAGTTAAGGAAGACATACATTGGTTTGGCCGAAAAGGTGTGACATCTCTAACGGGGTTGAGCGGGGGGGGGGACTTACAGATTATAGATTGGTTTAATGACTATTTCACCTGTAATTGGTTAAAGAAATGAATCTTTGTCCAAAGGCTTGGAATCTTTTTAAGTTAAGGAAGTCTGTTAATAAGAGACAAGTCACCAGACGTATTTGTTGTGTAAATTGAGGAGGATCTACAGGTTTGTCTTTCATAGCATTTGGCCTGTTAATGAGTTACAAAGGTTATCTCCAAGAAGGGAGGGGGGCTTGATGAGGCATGTCTGACCTCCCTCCTCATGGCAGGCAATTCAGTTTTAGGGTATCCCCTTTGCCAAGAGTGCGTCCATTTAGTCAGCCAGTGTTGGGGGGGAGCCTTAAGATTTTATTTTAATTTACAATTCCCCCCATTGGCCAAGATCTGCCAGAGGCAGCCTCTGTGGCCAAACTCTTATTTTGTCCCATCCTTTGGTGGGGTGATGTGGCTATCTGCCATGGGTCCATGCAGGCCCTCTGTGGGACCCTGGTGACCAAGAGGATTAAATAGCCAAAAGGACTTACAGCCCATTAAATGTTTTAGGCCAGACAGGACTGGAGGTGGACAGGCACTTATCAACCTTTTCAAACCTTCTAGGAAACACAAAGAATAAAAACCAAAATGTCAATGCCAAGGCTACACAATTAATTCATCTACAAGTGTTGAACTACTATATTTTAGGTTTAGTTGCAGATTTGTAGCAAACATAAGTGTTATTAACCATTTAAGCTAAGGGATTTAGAGACTTTCATTGTGTCATATTTTAGTCTCGTTAGTGATTTGTCCTAAGGTGGCTGATAAATTACTTGTTATATCTCCTTTCGCATAAACCCCATAACTGAGAACATTGTACTCAGGAAGTTCTAAGTCTGTGGGAAGCAGGAAAAATTTTATGATTGGGATGGATATCTGCACCACGTGGCATAAAAGACAAGTTTTTAAGTAAGTATTTATTTAGGCTTCTGTGTGCCCCTCCTTGATCTGGAGGATCTAAACTAATTCCATCCCTCCAAATCGGCCTTTATAATCTCATGGGTCCCCCTTCCCAGGATAGTCCCCGGGCCTAGACAGAGGATGTTTGAACAGGGAGTTGGCAGTGAATAACAGGTTGGGCGTGGCAGGATTCAGTAGTTTTAAATCCTGGAAATATCACGTAAACTTGCTGTTTACTTAAAACTTGTCATGACTCTGGAAAACAAAGCATGTGAATTCGTAATGTTTTAAATAGAAAGTCATAAAAATTCCCATGTAATTAATTTCTGTTCCTTTCGAGGTTGAGTTAGTGATACTTGTGGACATATCAGTTTTCTAATTAAAGTCCTGGAAGTTTGTTTTGTTTTAGTTCAATGATATATACTCTTCAAAGTTATCAGAAACTGGTATTCAAGAGAACTTGTCAGTCCTTTTCATGACTTTCCTTGAAGAAGCAAACTTTGGACTTAGCCAGTTTAAAAAAAACACTTTCTGAGATGAATTGAAGTAAAATAAAAAGTCTTAGACTAGCCATAGTTAAAGAGACAATTGACAAACAAAGTTGGTTATTTTTATGGCATGCAGCAATTTAACATAATAACCATAATTATTACTGATAACATACACCAAGACATATCAATATTTTACAGTATTGGAACATATATTAGTAACATGCTTATAAAAATATAATCCAAAGAAAGTTAAACACCATTTCATATTTGACAATGCTTCCTCTATGGTTTTAAACATGCCAAATGAGCCTAATATGTCTCTC